GTGCTAGGTTGATGTTAAATTGAATTTAGGACTTGAATTAGTGTTGTGGTAAGCTTGTGAAGGCATAGGAACCTTGAAATAAAAAATTATAAAATGGTTTAGTAATTTTGGCCATATTGGCCGAATCTATGCATTGTGGGGGGTTATTTTTTGAGCTTGTGACCTTGTTTAATTGCACCTTGTATTGATGATCCTTGTGCGATCATTGTAGGTTGCCTCCCACAGACGTAAACTTGGAGCTTTGAGCTTGGTGGGTTGCGTTTGGTCCTTGACCAAAGGGACTTTGGCATTTCTTGTGAACCAAGCTCGGTGGTGCTGTGGATTGCAGTTATCATGTGAAGGGAGATTAATCAGGTAATCCCTTGATACTGGGGTTTAATCCTCGTGTGTGCTTCACCAAGCCCCTTGAGGGTAGTGGTTGGAGGTGTATGTTGGTAGTATGGTATAACATGTTCATGCATTATTGTATGTTTAGTGGTACATAGGATATACCGTGTCTCTGGCCAGTAGACTGTTGCCTTCGGGCGTTACGGACTTTCACTGGATAGGTCTCTATAAGGGAGTTCTAGTTGACCTGGGGTCATGGTGTGTCATCCGTTGAGGAGCACACTAGAAAAATCTCGGGTGTATATGGATGGAGGGTGCCTTGGTTGATGTTCTGGGAACACTTCCTTGGATTGGAACCCGTAGGCTATATGCCGAGGCCAATAGGCCGGATGTTGTGTGGTATTGGCATCGACCATTGCAGCTTCATCGTATTCCTACTTCACTAAATCCCTTGCTTTATCCCGTTTTGAATGTTGTAGTATATTATTGATATACATCTGAGTAAGCCATTGAGCGGAGTAATCTCCAGAGCCTCTGGGTTACTGAGATATATCCGTATATCTTACCCCATTTTGGGGACTTTATTTCAGGTAGTGGCAGTGGCACCGGAGCGGCGGCAAGAGGCCCGTGAGATGAGCATGAGAGCTTGAGTCTATTTTACATTTTGTGGTCATTGGACCTAGACTAGACTTAAGACATGAACATTGTATGTGATCTAGGATTCATATTGCCATCTTTGTTCATGTTGCATTTTGTCTAAGTTTATTTGATGATTTACCTTATTTATTTTGGAGGTTATTATGTTGTATATTGTTATGCTTTATTTGAGGTTATTGTAATATTTATAATGAAGCCTTGTAATTTGTAATATTGAGACCTTGTGTAATATTGAAGCATGCTATATGATGAAAGGGCAATAGGCCTATTCTAGGATATCATTTATGTTTTATGTCGAAAGAATGCATGCAAAGGAATTAATGTGATTGAAATAGTTTAAGATTTGATAATGTAATTGATTAGTTGTAAAGTAAGCTATTTGATGTAAATTGTGAAGGGTTGTAAGAGCACCAATGCATTGATGGTCCTTGAGTGCCATACATGTTTATTAGGTACCATTTGAGGATAGATAACACACTTTGAAAAGTAGGATATGTTGGAAAAACAAAGGAGACTCTGGCAAAATTTATATAAAATGGCAGATTTTGAGTGAACTTTGGGGGAGCATATCTCCCTCCACAAAAGTCTGATAGAGAATTTCCATACACCATTGTAAAGCTTGAGATATCAACTACCTTGTATCAAAATTTGAGAACCATAGCAATAGAACTCTGCCCTGTAGAAGCCGTGGAACGCAAACTGCCCAAAATACCTTGCACTTGGGGGCTGTCACTATCTGTTTTTGGGAAAATTATTCTCGCCTCAATTCTTGGTTAAATTAGGTGCATGATATGTAAAGTTGAAGCTTAAGGTGTCTAAGTTACTGTAAACAAATTTGAGATCCATTGGTGGAGTTTTTTGTCCGGAATCTTGCAAAGAGTGAGGGCTGTTTAGAGCCCTATTTGAGGTTGGCTGGCAGATTTGCTTGTCCAACTTCAAACGGTGATATCCGGAGCACACGTGAACTTTATGGAGTGTGTGATAGCTTGTTGAAAATATAATTAAGTCTAGAATACCATACTAAAAGTTGGGAGGCTCACAACACGCGGATTTTCCGCAGTAATTAAAATACTGAACCATGTTCGGATAGGTAAAAACTATAAAAGAAAGATTTATGCTAAGTGGGTTTATGGGATCCCCTTAGTGACTTTAGAGAAGTATTATAAGATATTTAGGCATTTGTTTTAATTATTCCGCAATTAGTTTTCAGTTACGGTCACAACTTTTATTCATTACGCTTTATTATTGTTTTAAATGCTTACGTAATGAAAAGGAAAAAGTTTACTCGCATTTTTATAAATGAATTGTTGTGATTGTAACTGCGCCTAATATCATAATCAATGTTAACAATACCAGTGTACAACGGGCTGTTACATTAAACGCCCAACAGTGCGCTTAAGCGCCTCGAAAGACCTAACTTAAGCCCACTTGAAGTATCCATCTAGGGCACGGGTTCTTTGCAGATAAAAATGCAATTTGGGGTAGAATTAGTGACTTTTTGATATCTTCTGATCATTCTTGGCCATTGGAGGCAGCGGGGAACGCGGAGAATTCATCAGTTCATGTTCATGAGAAGCAGAGACGGATCGGAATCAAGTCTGCACTGGAGTTATTGAAGAATTCTCATTCTAATATGGAATTTGGGGGAGCTTTCTTAATTCTTTTCTTTCTTGATTTTGCCATGTCCGGATAAGTCTTTTAAGTAGTTAGGGTTAGATGGAACTCAATTAATCTGTTATGTCATGAATAATTCTTGATGTTAATTTTCCTTTTTATCATGAATGAAATTATCTTTTATTAATGCTTTCTATGAGTTTGAATGTTATAGATTGGTCCTAGGTAATTGTATGACAATAAGAATGTTGGTGAATGATCCGTATCTGACAATTTCATCGTAATCCTTATGATTCTAGGGATAGACATAGGGTTTTGCGCAATCTCATGATTCTTAAACTTAACACTTATTTTCTTGGGGAATAACCGGGGAACTAGGGTCCTTGCAAGATTGTAAAGACTTAGGGTGTCAAGGGTTTGAATCCTAATTACATTAGAAAGAATTGATTAGATTGATATTAAGGATAATTAACTTAAAGAAGGAACTCAAACGTAATAGGGAGGTTGAGGGAAATCAAAATCCTAGCTACGTTTATTTTCTATTAAGTAAATTTAAATCTTTAAATTCTTGTTCTTATTCTTGTTATTAATTAGTTTTAATATTTTAAATTCGAATCAAATCTCGATACAAATACAATTTCGATTGTCCAACTTAAGTTGAAATAGTGAATTAGTGCTTGATTTATAATCCTCGTGGGAACAATCTCTTACTTAAACATTATATTACTTGTACGACTGGCGCACTTGCTGTGAGCGCAACAAGTTTTTGACGCCGTTGCCAGGGATTATTACTTCAACATTAATAGTAACTATAGATTCTTTAGATTGGACCTTATTTTCTGTTATTTAATTTCAGTTCTTATTTTATTAATCTATTTTCTGGTTTATGCGATGTATCATTGACACTAATTCCTTGCATTTCGATCCGGAGATAGAGAAAACAGCAAAAAGAAACAGAAAGATCGTCAAAGAAAGAAAACAACAAGAAAAAGAAGCATCAAGCTCAGTGATAAGAGAGGAAGAAACAATGGCAAATAACAACAACAATCCGCCACATGAGCTGATGGATGCATTCCTCATTCTAAGCATGCCAAGGAACACCTCAAGCATCATCAGACCAAATGTTGCTGCAAATAATTTTGAAATCAAGCCAGCTTTACTCTTTGTAGTTTAACAAAATCAATTTGCTGGTGATGACGAAGCAGACATCATCTTCATCTTGATAAATTTTTGCTAATTTGTGACACAGTGAAGATGAATGGGGTAGCAGATGGTGTCATCCGTATAATATTATTTCAATTTTCTTTGAAGGAGCAAGCACTTAAGTGGTTGTATCAACAACCTACTGGAAGCATTAATTCATTGGATGACTTAGCCGCTAAATTCTTGGCTAATTTCTTTCCTATGACCAAGTATAACCAGTTAGTAAATGAAATTTCAAATTTCACCCAACAGGAAGGGGAGTCACTTTGTTCTGCATTGAGAAGATTCAAAGATCTGCAAAAAAGATGTCCTCAGTATGAATTGCAACCTGGACCAAAGGTGCAGATATTTTTCAATGGAATAACACCTGCTTCTAGAATGGTCATTAATGCCGCTGCAGGAGGGTCATTGAGACAGAAAACTCCTACTCAAGCATTGGAGTTATTTGAATCTATGGCTTCTCTAGAGAATGAAAGTGTTCCGACAACACCAAAGAAAGGAATATATCGGCTGGAAAGCAATGATGCTATGTTGGCTACACAGAAGGCGATGTCTCAACAATTGTCATCCCTCACAACCATGTTTGAAAAGTTTTAAGCATCTGCAATCCAGACACAGCCACCTCCACCAGTTTGTAAATTTTGTGGAGGAGAGCATGAGAGCAGCAACTGTGGAGCTCTTGGAGGAACTGAAGCAGCACCTGTGAATGGAATCTGGCATGATCAGAGGAATTCAGGCAAATTTTAGAGGAATCAAAGCAGTTCATATGGTGATACTTATAATCCTAGGTGGAAAAATCACTTTGGGTTCAATTATAAATCAACTCAGTACCAGTTTAACCAACCTATTCCACCATAGCCACAACCTTCACAAGGTAGTCCTTCTGAATTGGAGAAAGCACTGATGCAACTTTCAAAGACGACTAATGATTACATCCAAGGTTCAGAGACTTTCAAAAATGAAAAAACTTCATTCATGTAAGAAACCTGAACAGTATTCAAGAATCAGGATGCTGCAATGAGAAATCAAGAAGCATCAATTAGAAATCTTGAAACTCAGATCGGGCAACTATCAAGGAAAATTTCTGAAAGAGTTCAAGGCACCTTTCCAAGTAATACTATTCCAAATCCTAAAGAACACTGCAAAGTCATTACAACTAGTAGCGAAATAGTAATTCAACCAGTGGAGAAGAAAAAAGAATGAGGAAAGGAAGAAAACTGAAGATGATGCTGACACCAATACTGATATTGGAGAAAAAGAAAAAAGAGGTTCCTAAAGAAGCTGCTGCAGAGAAAGTTGTTCCTGAAAAGAAGGAGTTCAAATGGGAGAAAAAGAAAGCTCAAGAAAATCAAGAAAAGCCATTGAAGCTCTCACCTTATGCAAGAATTCCATATCCACAGAGGCTCAGACAAGAAATTCAAAAGTAGCAGTAGTCCAGGTTCCTAGATATTTTCATGAAGCTGCAAATCAATATTCCATTTGCTGAAGCCTTGGAGAACATGTCAAATTATGCAAAGTTCATGAAAGACCTCTTATCAAGAAAGCGTAAGCTGAAAGAATGTAAGACAGTGACTTTGACGTAAAAATGCAGTGCTATAATTCAGAAGAAGTTACCTCCGGAGCTTAAAGAATCAGGAAGTTTTAGCATTTCCATAGAGATTGGCAACATTGATGTGGGAAAATCATTATGTGACTTGGGAGCTAGCATTAATCTAATGCCACTCTCCATATGCAAGGCTCTGGGAATTCACGAATTAAAGCCAACCAAAGTCTCATTACAGTTAGCTGAAAGATCTATCAGAAGGCCGGATAGAATATTTGAAGATGTCTTGGTGAAGATAGATAAATTCATCTTCCCTGCAGACTTTACTATATTAGACATGGAAGAAGATGCTGAAATTCCATTACTTCTGGGAAGACCTTTCTTAGCCACTGCAAGGGCTATCATTGATGTTGAGCAAGGTAAACTAATGTTACAGGTGAATGAAGAGACCGTGACAATTGATATCCTTGAATCCTTGAAGCATCCAACTGACGGATGAGATTGTTTTACAGTTGATGTGATTCATGATGCCATACTTGAAACAGTTGATGGAATACTCCAACCACTAATGGAATTGGAGTTATTAGAAGAAGAAATATTGCAAGATGCAACAGAAGCAATAGAGGAAGGACAAGTGGTTGAGAAGTTAGAAAAGAAAGTTGATGATGTTACTTAGGGAGCACCAAAGGTTGAATTGAAAGAGCTGCCTCCTACTTTGAAGTATGCATTTCTTGTAGAAAACAATACATATGTAGTAATCATCAATGTGAACTTGACAACCATTGAAGAAGAAAAATTATTAAAAGTGCTGAGAGAGCACAGAACAACTATTGGATGGTCTATTACAGACTTGAAGGGAATAAACCCATCCTTTTGCACTCATAAAATATTGATGGAGAACGATGTGAAGCCAGTCAAACAACCACACAGAAGACTTAATCCAACTATGAAAGAAGTTGTGAGAAAAGAAGTCGTGAAACCCCTAGATGCTGGCATGATCTATCCAATTTCTGACAGTGCATGGGTGAGTTCGGTGCAAACAGTTCCAAGGAAAGGTGGGATCGCGGTGGTGCATAACGAAAATAATGAATTGATTCCCACAAGAACAATTTTTGGCTGGAGAATGTGCATCGACTAGAGGAGACTCAAAGCCGCTACAAGAAAAGATCATTTCCCTCTACCATTCTTAGATCAAATGTTAGAGAGATTAGCAGGGCATGCATATTATTGTTTCCTAGACGGCTATTCCGGATATAATCAAATAGCAGTTGCTCCAGAAGATCAAGAGAACACAGCTTTCACCTGCCCCTACGGTGTCTTTGCTTACAGACGTATGCCCTTCGGGTTTTGCAATGCACTCGCCACATTTCAAAGGTGTATGCTGTCCATTTTTTCTGATATGATTGAAAATTTTATTGAAATATTTATGGATGATTTTTCTATTTTTGGTTCCTCTTTTGATTTATGCTTAACTAACTTAGCTTGTGTTTTACAGAGATGCCAAAAGAGTAACTTAGTACTCAACTGGGAAAAATGCCACTTTATGGTAAGAGATGACATAGTATTAGGCCATAAGATTTCTGAGAAAGGAATTGAAGTAGATATAACGAAGATTTCACTTATAGAGAAACTTCTCCCTCCCTCTAATGTCGTGGTGTGCGTAGTTTTCTTGGACATGCAGGTTTCTATCGGTGATTAATCAAGGATTTCTCAAAGATTTCTAAGCCTCTATGCAAGTTATTGGTCAAAGAAGAAGAGTTCAACTTTGACAATGACTATTTGTTTGCTTTTAATCTTTTAAAAGAGAAATTAACTACAGCACCTATTATCATATCACCGAATTTTGAATTGCCTTTTGAATTGATGTGTGATGCTAGTGATTATGTTATAGGTGCAGTCTTAGGTCAAAGAAAAGATAAATTGTTGCATGTTATATATTATGCTAGTAAAATTATGAATGAAGCACAGATAAATTACACCACTACTAAGAAAGAATTGTTAGCTGTTATATATGCTTTTGATAAGTTTAGACCATATTTACTAGGTTCTAAAATTATTGTACATACTGACCATGCGGCTTTGAAATATTTATTGACTAAACAGGATGCTAAGTCGAGATTACTGATGGAACGAAAATTCGTTCCTATCTAAGCCCATTTTGATGGCAAAATATCATTTGTTCTCTCACATGATGAGCAACTTTAGCACTAAAAGCACATGTTTAATATCTTTATGACAAAAACACAGCAGGAACGGATGGTGACGTAAGTCTTTGGAAAATATATAAAAAGGGACACGAATTGGGAACATTAAAAACACCTGCTCCACTCATTTAATATTTCTGACCACTTTGCAGGAAACGTTGGAAATAAGTTTCCATAAAGCATAAGCAGTGCAGCAATCAAACAAGAGGAAACCTGCGCAGTAGGGAATAAACGGTTCCTATTGTTCACACCACCCCTTTCATGCAGTCAAGAAAACAACTCCAAGGGAATTACTCACTTTTCCATTCACTCTTCTGCCTATAAGTAGGACGTTCCAGCACGAAGAACATATCGAATTCCTTAAGAAGAGATCACTTAGTTTATTTTATCGTTTTTCTTTTGTATAGTTTTAGCTGTAGTTAAGTGATAACACTTCTTCTCTATTTTGTATCACCCATATGAAACTCCTCATGAGCAACAACCATATTCTCCACTTTCTATTTTGTTGTAACCTAAGTTGTTTCCATTTAAATATAAGTGTTATTTCTCTCATTTTCACTCGTTATCTCTGAACTGAATCTCGGGTCTATGAGATTTCAGTCTAGAATAATTATGTTTAAAGTAGTAGCCATGGGCTAAACTACCTGTGGAACGGGAAAACTGCAAAGTTCTTAAAAACTTATTCTCAAAACTTTTGTACTGAGCTTTTGTATTTCTCTGGTTAAGTAAGCTAAATTCATTGTGTATCAATGGAAATTGAACACATACTGAGAAAGGAACTTCCATAAGGAAGGAATTTCAGACAGCTTAACCAGAAGGGGAAGGTAGTGTTGTGGAAACAACACTGCTGGTTGCCTTAGGAATAAGGGACCACCTTGTTCATTTTAAGGTTCTGTGCTAAGTAACTGTTGGAGTCAAGGGAGCCATAGGAATATGGAAACTTGTGAGCCATTTAGTCCATAAGCTGAGGAATCAGCCGTTGGCAGTGAAGAGACTGGAACAAAGACAAAAGTGTTAAGTCTTGAGTAGAGAGACTAACTATTTAAGAATGGATCAGTGGATCTTTTCCTTTTGTTAAAACTGTTTTACACCATCCATATTGTTATCTCTTAATTACTGTTATTACTATTGTTATTTTCTTTTATTTATTCAATCTTTTATCTATAAATCTCTCATGAATATTTCTTTTCCTTCTCTCAACAAGAAGGGTGTCATACATAATGAAGCGATGAACTGTTTGCTGTCAGATAGAACCTACTGTTCTTGAGGAACGCTGTCAAGACAGTAGGGAACGTTTGACCAAACAGGTCAATTACTAACTTTTCTTTTCATTTTTCATTCTTTGTAAAATAGTTTAAGGTATTAATTAGAGTTCTATCCTCGTGGAAACGATAATCTGGGCACTAATAGTCCCTTTATTACTTGATGCGTGCACTTGCGCACTTGGGTTAAAAGTAAGAGAACACAAGTGATTTCTCTTACCGAACTAGAACATTCTCCATCATAATATATTTTTCACCCAACAGCTTTTGACCCAACAAGTTTTTGGCGCCGTTGCCGGGGATAGACACACTAAATTTTTTACTTACTACTGTTTTAAGTACATACTCTGTATAGTTCATTTTCATTTTCTTATATTTATTCTGTCACATATTCTGTTGTTCATATTATCTGTGTTTTATGGTTTATGAGTGAAAAATCTGAAACAGATTCTCACCACTCCAATGAAATACCTGAGTTCTTCTTCGACCCTGAACCAGAACGTACTTTACATAGGAGAAGAAGAGATCTCATGAAAAATATTTGTGAAAATATGGCTAATCATAATAACAATAATGATGAAATTCCTCCTAAACAGAACTTCAAAGCTTTGGCTGCTCCTTTCAGGAACAAGCCAGAAAGGGGAGTGATCCTTCCCTCATCAGCTCCCAACTTTGAACTCAAACCTATCATGTTTCACATGATTAGGGAAGCAGGAGTCTTCAATGGACTCCCTGCAGAAGATCCTTACACACACCTCACAAACTTCCAAGATATCTGTGATAATTTTAGAACTGAGGGTGTAACAGAGGAAAGTATGAGAATGAGGCTATTTCCTCATTCCTTGGGCTCAAAAGCAAAAACATGGATGAAAACCCTCACCCCTTGTTCCATACACTCTTGGGAGGAACTTTCTAATAAGTTCATAGAAAGATTTCTCCCTATGTCTCGCCAAGCTGTTGTTAGAGCAGAGCTATCTAATTATAGAATGTTTTATGGAGAAAATATCTATGAAGCTTGTGAGAGATATAAGGACATCATTAGAAAGTGTCCGAAATATGGGGTGGAAAGTTGGGGAATTTTACAGTCTTTTTATAAAGGGATTGATCATACTTCTCAGTCACATTTAGACTTTGCTGCAGAAGGATATTTCTTTACAGGAACTCTCGAAAGCGAGGCATGGGGATGATCAGAAGGAAAGACAAATCTCAACAATAATTGTCCCATCCAGCCACTTGCGCCCCTCAAAGCACTGTTCACATTGCCCCTTTCATGCGTCAAGAAAACAACTCCAAGGGAATTACTCACTTTGCCATTCACTCATCTGCCTATAAATAGGACGTTCCAGCACGAAGAACATATTGAATTCCTTAAGAAGAGATCACTTAGTTTATTTTATCGTTTTTCTTTTGTATAGTTTTAGCTGTAGTTAAGTGACAACACTTCTTCTCTATTCTGTATCACCCACTTGAGACTCTTCACGAGCAACAACCATATTCTCCACTTTCTATTTTGTTGTAACCTAAGTTGTTTCCATTTAAATATAAGTGTTATTTCTCTCATTTCCACTCGTTATCTCTGAACTGAATCTCGGGTCTATGGGATTTCAGTTCAGAATAATTATGTTTAAAGTAGTAGCCATGGGCTAAACTATCTGTGGAACAGAAAAACAACAAAGTTCTTAAAAACTTATTCTCAAAATTTTTGTACTGAGCTTTTGTATTTCTCTGGTTAAGTAAGCTATATTCATTGTGTATCAATGGAAATTGATCACATACTGAGAAAGAAACTTCCATAAGGAAGGGATTTCAAACAGCTTAACCAGATAGGGGAGGTAGTGTTGTGGAAACAACACTACTGGTTATCTTAGGAATAAGGGACCACATCCTTCATTTTAAGGTTCTGTGCTAAGTAACTGTTGGAGTCAAAGGAGCCATAGGAATATGGAAACTTGTGAGCCATTTAGTCCATAAGCTGAGGAATCAGACGTTGGTAGTGAAGAGACTGGAACAAAGACAAAAGTGTTAAGTTTTGAGTAGAGAGAATAACTATTTAAGAATGGATCAGTGGATCCGTTCCTTCTGTTAAAACTGTTTTACACCATCCATACTGTTGTCTATTAATTACTGTTATTACTATTGTTGTTTTTATTTTATTTATTCAATCTTGTATCTATAAATCTCTCATGAATATTGTTTTTCCTTCTCAACAA